TCGGATGCTAGATGATATTGAGAATGATGCCTCCAGCCTCTCTTCTCAGACTCTGTGTGAGTCTCTGGTGATTGTGCACTATATGAGCCCCGGGCACATGCCCTTGGGACTTTGGTGTGGGATCCCAGCACGCACGGCGTTTTGCATTGTGTTCCCCTAGCGTAAGATATTACGCAGTACGAGAGAACCTCTCGTAAGAGAACGTACTCGGTTACTAACCTAACCTCGGTTCTCTCTAGAGAGGGAACGAGTACTGCGTATCTTTCCGTGCATGCTGTACGCTCTGGTTCGCTTCAGCGATGAAAACCAGATTATATCAGCCCATCGAGCCGTATTTATAAGGCTAGGCCACGCCCGTTTCGGCGGGAGCGTGACGCAATGGGTGTGAAGCGCCCTCATTGGACTGTCACTGAATGGCCTCTCTCGATAGGCTGCTGCAATTGCCAGAGGCCAGCCAATAGGCACGATAAGCCGCCTTACCTATGTCTGCTTGCTGTTGCAATGCGTTTTGCATTAATACAAAATTAAGGATAATTTTTTGGCTTCAATATCTCGAGGAAAAGAGGGTTTCCCCTAACGTAAGATATTACGCAGTACTCGTTCCCTCTCTAGAGAGAACCGAGGTTACGTTAGTAACAGAGTACGTTTTACCCCACAGTCAAGAGACCATTGCAGCCTGGCTGTTATCGTCAATAATTCTCGTTATGTTTGGGTACTGCAGACGGTGTCTGTGCGGGGGTATTACTGCGCAATACCAGCAAGAACACATCGTCTCAAACTGTCAGCAGCGTTCTGTGTGCTCGTCACCTTGTGAGTTCATTCTTCCAAGAACAACTTGAAAGAGCTTTCTCCCCAAGAACACAAGTCCGTTCTTTGCATTCTTGGTTTTGAGAAGCACCCGAGATATTTTTATCTCGATGCGGCGCGGACGCGCTTGGAAAAAACGAGCGCGTCGCTTCCATTATGAGCGCGCATTTCGCGCGCATACATTTGAAATAACGAACTTGAGCGCGCAAAAGACGCGATATGTGAGCAGGCCCTAATGTTAGTATTGTTTTGTCACGAACGCGCTCTATCGCCCCAGTAACAAATGAGCGGAGCTAGAGGTAAACTCAGGACTGTAGCCTTCACCTTGCTAATGAATCTGAATTTTTTTTTTTTTTTTTGAAACCGTGACCTTGTCCAGTACGGGTAGGCTACTGTCTGTGGGTTCAATGTGCAAAAACAATTTGCCTTGTGCTATTACTTTCCCCTTATTCTAGCCTATTGTAATGCAATACTGTATTATATGCTGTTGAATACATTTGGTTCAGCTGTAATAAATTGCATTTAAAATATATCGATTCCTGTAATACTAATTCTTTATTCATGTTCTGTGATATAATCAGGATGTGTTTTTGGTTGGAATTCTATGAAACATCATGGTATTTGGTCTCTCCTGTTTATTGTCGCAGCTCTTTACAATACAGCGAACACCCATGATTGTAAACTATGCTTTTACTATCTAGTAATTGCTGAATCTATTACTCCAACTCTGAACGAACTCTCTGCTCCTCACCACGGTGCGTCTCAGGTGCTGCGGTAATCACTCCGCCCAAGTAGCAGTGCTTCGCCTTCTGAGAATAAAGTTCCCAATATTTATACGGTTACAAGATGGCTGTGTCTCATATGATCTTGTTATTTGTACACTCTGTGACTATACAAATCACAACATGTAAATAGGAAAATGTTTGCGTTATTTTGTCACTTATTGGGATTAGTATGCTAGCTGGAGCCATTTACACCCAGTCTTTGTGCTAAGCTAGGCTAGCGGTGGGTGCGTCAGACAGAGTTACAGCACGCACGGAGATGAAACGGGTATGTATGGACTTATCTAACTCTAGGGGATACGGTGAATAAGCTAAAGTCCCAAAAAGTCGGCGTGTTCCTTTAAAGTAGGTGAAAAACAGTATGTGACAAAAGGAATATATCTGAATTCACAGCACTCATAAAAGAGTAGGCAAAAACAACCCGGACGTCCTACTACTTCTGGCGAGATTCTGAGTGTGCACAGAGCCCGTCTAACGGAGACCCTTGGCACTTCCTATTAGCCCCATTGTGTATCATATTGGTTGCAGTTCCATTAGAATTCCACTGGAGGTGATCCCGGCCGAGTGCAGAATGAATGGGAGTCTATGGAGCTAAACGGCTAAATGTATCTTGTTCTCCTGCTTGTCGTTGAATCAACATAGATTTTATTGTTGATTCCGCAAGTTCAATATAGATTATAGGCCAAAAGTCGAATGAATGAGTACTTATGTCCTTTCGATTTCTTACAGGTTAGGCCGTTGTTGGCCGGAACACGCTAGCATTCTGCTATTATGTGACGTCATCACATTTTTTAACGGATTTTTAGAACCGATAAGTGTACTTAAAAATGCAATTTTCAGCTGAGTGTATTATCTTAGCCCTCCCTTTTGAATGCAACTTTCAAATTACTTGACAAAAAATTACATCCTGAGAAAAGTGGATTTCTGGAGGTGAAACCCCATAGACTCCCATTCATTCCAAGTACTCCTCGATGCAGACTGTAGCGCGGTGACGTCACGTATATACAATACGTCACGTACGTACGTCACGTATGTGTTACCACGCGGGACGTCAAAACACGTGACGTAACCGTGTAACGCGCATGCGCTGTCACCGCGATATGTCACGCGGTTACGTCACGTGTTTTGACGTCCCGCGTCAATTTGACATAATATTTTAAAAAAATGTTAATATATTAAAAAAACTCTAAAGTAATAATGAAAGCAGCAAAAAGAAGTAAAACACACATCCATAGTTTTAACTATGCCTGATTTAAGGTAAACTTATAAGAAATTTTAGAATGTATTATTGTGTAATATCTGTGTAGTATTTTATTTAAAGTTTATTTTCACATTCTGTTGCACTTCACTTTGTAAATTACAAACTTACTGTAAACACTGATGGCACCTTATATATTTCTTATTTTAATCATTCCCCTTTAATAGTTAATAATTGTTTATTTTTGTGCATTATATAGGCTATCATTAAACATTTATTGGTTATAATCATATATGGAGTAACACATAACAGAAATGACCAGAAATGACTTTTAATTTTACAATTTTGGAGAAATAAGCTCAATATAATATAATGTATTTATATAAAAAAAAATCTATTTAGCCCAGAGCTGGCTCGGCACCAGCTGACAGATGATGGCGCGTTTAATCAACGGCGCCGAGAGACGATCGAGTAGTGTCCGAAAGTGGTGTTTCTATTATGCTGGTGAGCTCACTAGTGCTCTACTCCCTACCCCCTACATAGGGGTTAGGGAGTAGTTGTTTGAGTGGAGATTTTGGACACAGCCATTCTCTGGTGTGCATTCAATTGACACTTTACTATCCCATGAGGCCACGGGAGATAATTTGTGAATGGCAGTGAAGTGAGAACTGACGCTGGTAGGTCACATGATAATGACAACATGTAGAATGTAGTCCACCCAGATTACATTCATACACACATTCATAGAACGTACTGACCCTTTAGCGGTCGTGAAGTAATTATTTACTCAAAATAAGTCCCTAAGCGAGTATGTGATTTCAGACGCAGCCTGTGTGATGAGTGCTGCTTAAATGGCAGTCCAAATGAGCAGGTGATAAGTTGCAGGTGTGTGTGATGTGACAAGTATCGTTGTTTTTCTGGGAATTTGAGATTTACTTATGAACTCATTTGATAACTTAAATTAATTTTCTCTTAGTTGATATAATACTGATCCCAGTGCATGATGGGAACCTTACACTTAACGTAAAAGTGAAACAAGTAGTATTTTTTTTTTTTTTACAAGTGAATCACTTTATTTGACATTTAAACAAGAGTCAATGTCAGAGGAAATGGATTTCACCATTTCCAGGAAACCTTTCAGTGACCTTTCTTAAAAATGTGCAGTCATCATTATAAACAAGACTTAAAAGCATGGTTTTGTGATCTACTTTCAATCTAAATTTGCATAAGTTCTAAAAGAATGTTAGCGAAGTTGGAAAGTTCTCTCAGACGAACACTCAATGTAGTCTACTACCACTGCTTAGCTACACAGTTACTATTAATAACTTACGGAAGCAATTTATATCACTGTAATACTGGCCGCATGCAGAGTGCGGTTAAATTGAAGCCTTCCTATTCACCTCACCCACAAACACACCTATAAAGAAGTGAAACTAAATCGCACTAATAACTTGACGGAAACCAGCAGATGACCGAGAACTGACACTAAAATACATAAATACACCAGTCTTAAGAAACATAAAGACAGACTAAGCAAAGATCTCAGAGAACAGACAACAAAACGAAACATTTAGGAGGTTTAATAGTTGGCACGGTTATGAGGCATCATTAAAAGTTTCATTGCTGTGATGAATGAGTGAAAGGTTGTTTTTTTTTTGCCATTGTCTGACTCAAGTGTAAAGTAATTTACATTGTTTTTAAGTATTTAAATTCTAAGTTCATAAAAAGTTTTCAAGGATTTGTGTGTTAAGGAAAATGGAGCGTGCTACAAATGAAATGAGGATGTAAAAATGGAGTCGGTTTCAGGAGTCAAATCCTGATTACTCTAAAGCACTACTTTACTAAAAGCCACCCACGTCGGGTTAATTATGATTTTGTCGGAAAGCGATCTCAATAAGTTTGTAGGCCTACTCTTAGGTTTATGATTTAATTTGTAAAAAGAACCCATGGGGCATCTACATCTCGCATGTTCACGTTTGAAAGTGAAGGTAACAAACAGGGGTGTAGCAGAAACCAAACCTGCTTTTTCTCATGAAGTGAGATGAGCTTCCCCTGCTGCTCTCGTGTTGTGGTTTGTGGTGATGCAGTAGTTTGCACTTCATTCTGCCCCAGAAAGACACATGAGTAGTGCATACATATCAGACTAACCCCTCATGTGTCTAGTCCAGATGACTTCCAACCCAACGATTGTTAATGTGAACTCGCGATGTGTATTCGCCATGTCTTATGAGTGAGGACCTTTCCGAACACGGGAAGCGATGGGGATGAGAGTGGCTGTGCTGTTGCTTGTTGTTTCTGTCAGTCTGACTGAAGGTATGTTTGCTGATGTTATCAGTGCGAACGGCACATATTCAACACCGCAGACAGAGGAAGAAGATATTGAGATTAGCTTGATATACTTTACGGAAGTAGCAATATAGATTTCAGAAGATTGTGATGGTGTGTAGATTTTTGTCAGAGCTGTGACCCAGTCGCCATTTGGCTAAACCACCATTAAACAACTATAAAACCACAGGATGTAAACAAATTCAAGGCACTGCTCTTTTAGGTGTTTACTATAACATCAATCTGATTTAAAAAGCCAAATACTTTGTATGTAGTCAAATGTTTGTGATAATTACAATTTCAAGAGGACTAGCTCTGTGTCTTTTGCTCTCACCAAGCCTGTATTTCATCAAACATACAGTAAAAACAGTAGTATTGTGAAATATTATTACAATTTAAAATAACTTTTTCTATTTAAATATATTTAAAAATGTAATTGTAATTTTCAGCATCATTACTCAAGTCTTCAGTGTCACATGATTCTTCAGAAATCATTATAATATGCGGATTTGGTGCAATTATTATCAATTGTTATAGGTGATTGTATTAATAATGTTTATTATTATCGATGTTAAAAAGGGTTTATGCTGTTTAATATTTATGTGAAAACCGTGATTTTATTTTTTGGGATTTTGATGAATAGAAAATTTAAAAGAACAACATTTATTTGAAATAGAAATCTTTTGTAACATTGTAAAAGTCTTTACTCTCACTCATGATCGATTTAATGCATTGTTGACTAATTTTTACTTCCTTTAAACTTTTAAATACAGTGTATCATGGTTTTCACAAAATATTAGGCAGCAAAAACTCTTTTCAACATTAATAATAATATAAATGTTTCTTGAGTACCAAATCAGCATTTTAGAATCTCTGAAGGATCATGTGACACTAAAGACTGGATAAATGATGATGAAAATTCAGCAGAAAACAATTTTTTAATTTTTTTATTTCACAACATTAATGTTTTTACCGTATTTGTGATCAAATAACTGCAGCCTTAATGAGCATAATAAACCTCTTTAAGAAACTTATTTGGGATCAGGTGAGTTACAACAGTCAAACTTACAGATTTGGTTTCTTCCATGATGTAAATGTTTTTAAAGCAGCAGGATGCATACCTACAACTAGTCCGTGGTGTTACAAAAATTCTACTTTTCTGGAAGAGGACTTTATGTGTAAATGGGATAAGAGAAACCCTAAGGAGAATCAGACACACACTCTTTTTATATGGTGAGTTCAAACAACACATTAAAAAGTAACATGAACAAATCTCATTGTCTTATAGTTATGAAACATTGTAAACCTCAGAGTTAAAGAATGTCAGTAATGGGGAGACCGGGGCTAGTTGTCAAACTTTATACTCCAGTGAATATTTCTTATATAGGGTGAGATTATTTTTGAAAGTTAAAGGGTTATTCACCCAAAAATGAAAAAATGGCCATCAAGTACTCATCCTCACGTCGTTCCAAACCCGTAAGACTTTTGTTCATCTTCAAAACACAAATGAAGATATTTTAAATGAAATCTGAGAGATTTCTGTCCCTCCATTGATAGTCTATGCTATTACTACTTTTACACTTTAAAAAGTTCATTAAGAGATTATAAAACTAATCCATATGAATCGAGAGGTTTAGTCCAAATTTTCTGAAGAGACTCGATTGCTTTATATGATGAACAGATTAAATTGAGTTGCCACAATGTGTCTATTGTTACTCTATACTAAATAACAGATATAGAGGCTTCATTATGTATGTCAGTCTGCATGAATCTACTCTCAATTCCTGGTGTGTACAGGGACAGTGAAAAGAAAAGGTTTATTATAAGTGCGAACTCTGGCGATCATTCAGGGAGATATATTCTCTTGGAGGAACTAGGAATCACAACAAGAAAGACGGACATATGGGTACAAACACAAGTGGGCAATCTCACCTGCAATTCTAGCAAAATCTCAGTCATCCTTGAATGCTTGGGTAAGAACCAGTCTAAGACATCCATTCAAACTGCTATTTTCTGACAGTTTATATGGTGGGATTCTAAAGTTGTTGCATGTTTCTAATAAATTGGTATATTAAATGGTAAATATGGCATATTATATTATATTATAATTTAAATTTATAGTTAATTTGTATATTTTTTAGATAATTAGTTACATTATATGTTATACATTTAATTGTAAATAAATAATTATATTATAACATAACATTTTGCATGGCATGTCGCCCCTAACGTGTCACTCTCGTGTTGTCAACAGTCAAATACAGTGCACCTCAGATTACCAGAATGAAAAGGTCTGCTGGAATCCTGTCTCTCAAACTGGACAAACCAAAGGATAAAAAAAGTGTTAAATACGAGATCAGATGGAGGGAGAGAGGCTCCGAATGGCAGAATGTAAGACATTTCAGAAAATCTGATATTTTCATATCCTGAAGTGAATCTGTTATTTTGTTAACATAATGTGTTCTGCAATTATAGGCGACATTTGAAACTGAGGACAGCACTAGCCAAGGTTAGACTCCTTACTCTGTTTATAAAGTGTAGAAATAAGGTCGTCTGAATGATACATTGATTTGTCCTTGTATTTGAAAAAAAAGTTAATGACACACACACACACACACACACACACACACACACACACACGCACGCGCACACATGCACATATATTTTTTAAAAATGCAATGTTCAAAAATAACAAAGGGTTAAAGGGTTAAAAGGGGTCATGTCACGAGAAATAAAATTTGAATAAAATTTTAAATAAAAGAATTAAGTGTACTCTGAAAACATTCTGTAATTTTCAGAACTCACGTTTTAAATATTGTTGTCACAATCATCAGTCACCAATCCAGTCACTTCCCCATTACCGGTCACCTCCACACAACATTTCCCATAATCCCTCCTGGCTCACACCTGCACACACTTCACAATCATCCACACCTGCCATCATTTACCCTCATCAGCTCCACTCCATTTAACCAGTCAAACCCCAGTTTGCTCTGTCTGGTCTTGTTGTTCAAACCTGAAGTACTTAAGCCTAGTTCACACTACATGATTTTAAGCCCGATTTAAGCCCGATTTGCAAATCGTTGAGCTCGCCGACAGGTCAGGGTGTTATCGCGTGCAAATCGCGGGAGATTAGCGGGCGATGAACGCTCGCCAATCTGTTAGTATGAAAGAGCCAACAACGCATCAAATACGCTCGCAGACGCGTCGCCGAGCCCAGAAAAATATCTAGCATGCTAGATATCCAGAGCTGTCGCACGACTCAAGCCTAGTTCACACTACATGATTTTAAAACGTCGGGCTGAACTGTGCGGTTCACACTACATGACTTGCTCTCTGTGAAATCAGGAGTGTTCAAGTTGTTGAGCTGTTTACACCACACGACACAACGTGATTGATCCGCAACAGGAGGTAACGCACTACACGAGTTGACAACAACTCTGTCACCCAACGATTCAATCTTGTCTACAAACCACGTTTTGTCACAAAAAATCACGCGATAAAACGAACCGGAAATGACGCGAAACATCACGCGCGCTCATACCCAGCGAAGAAGACGAAGACCCATGCCTTGCTCTGATTGGAGCAACCCACATCTTGCTCTGATTGGCTGTAGCTCATGACATCACTGAGGTTGAGTCGGGCGACAGCTCTGGATATCTAGCATGCTAGATATTTTTCTGGGCTCGGCGACGCGTCTGCGAGGCGTCAGCGAGCGTCTTTGATGCGTTGTTGGCTCTTTCATACTAACAGATTGGCGAGCGTCCATCGTCCGCTAATCCCCCGCGATTTGCACGCGATAACACCCTGACCTGTCGGCGAGCTCAACGATTTGCAAATCGGGCTTAAATCGGGCTTATAATCCTGTAGTGTGAACTAGGCTTCAAGCTCACATGATGTCATGAGCTACAGCCAATCAGAGCAAGGCATGTTCGCGTGTTGTGTTCTTCTTTGTCTTCTTCGCTGGGTATTGGCGCGCGTGCTGTTTCGCGTCCGGTTCGTTTTACCGCGTGATTTTTCGTGACAAAACGTGGTTTGTAGACAAGATAGAATCGTTGGGTGACAGAGTTGTTGTCAACTCGTGTAGTGCGTTACCCCCTGTTGTGGATCAATCACGTTGTGTCGTGTGGTGTAAACTAGCTCAACAACTTGAACACTCCTGATTTTTTATTTTACCTTAAAATTACTTTGACTTAATTTGATTTAAAAAGCACCTGGTGTAGCATCTTTGTTTTACTCGTTGCACTAAACATTATTTGATTTAACATTTTAGAATTTATTTATTTCGGTTTTATTTAGTTTCACCTTTTTTCTTTACACCGAATTTAAAAACAAAACAAATGCTGAATGCTGATTTAATAGCCAAACATCTTTGTTTAGATTGTTGAATGTGGTTTGATTGTGTTGTGAACTATGCAGTTGTTGCCTTTAATTTCACATGGTTACAGTTGTTTTCACTTAAGGTCAGTTTTATGTAGTTTCAAGTTCAACCCAATTTAAAAACAGAAGCTAAATGCTGATGCTAAATGTCAGTACCATATGTTTGTATTAAATATGCTTACTGCGCAGTTACTGCCGTTAATTTCAGATGGTTCAGATTCCTACAAGCTACATCTACAGAAACAGACGATCTACCAAATCCAACTGAGACGACAGGCCAAACTTCAGCCAAGTATATGTAAAGACTCACTACAAACTCTCTGGAGTGACTGGAGCCCAGTGGTGGATGTTCCCTTAGGTTCGATTTCAGTTGTATCTGTCAATGAATGTTTGTAATAAGTGAAAGCATCTGAAAATATTTGGTTAACAAATGTAACACCTTTCTGCAGAAATCAGCCTCTCTCTTGTACGCCCACTTGTAAAAAAATGGACGAATGGGACCAGGCATATTAATCTCACCTGGGACGTAAGTATAAGAAGAACAGAGGACATCAGAAATGTTTCTGTTTTTTGGTGTAAGATGAATGAAATTTGTTTTGAATGATGCTCCAATGTGATTTTCTTTAGGAACCATCTGCTGAACAGTCTGTTGGGGGTGTAGAGTACAAGCTGAATGTTATAGTTTGGCCTTGTGAAAAATCCAAGAGAAAGGAAAAGCTAACTTTGAATCGAACCTTTAAAACCTCAATAACATATTCAGAGGCCAGGATTTCCATTATTGCAACTAACAAGGTTGGAAGTTCACCTCCACTGGAGATCGTCATTCCCGCTGTGAAACATCTGAGCAGTAAGTGTGCTGCAAGTGTGAACTGTGAGTGTGTTAGCTTGGGTTTTCATGTACTGTATGTAAATGAACGTCTGAGTGTGTGAGCTTACAGCAGGAAGCAAGTGAAAAGTGTGGGTTTTTTGGTGAAGGGGGTCCTAAAGTGTTAAGTCATAAATTACTCATGTAACAAAAATGTGAAAAACCTCGAGAAAAAAAAAAACTGTACAATGGAAACTCGCAAGAATTTTTTAATTTTCAGATTGTGACAAGCCCTCTAATATCACCCAGAATTATCAAACCTGCTTAGAATGGTACAAGCTGGAAAACGGTGAGACCCGAATAAGTACAGTAAACAGCTCAGGCAAAAAATCATTCAAGGACATCGAAAAAGGTAGAGATAAGTCATTCATCCCATTAATCATGTTTCATATTAACATGTGCTGCGTATGCTAATTCTTGTCTCTGGTTTTAATTACAGGGGTGGAGAAATTTGTACGTCATTATTACTTTCTTCACACCTTGAGAAAGAAACATCTTCAAACTGTTGATATGTGTCCTTTTTACTCAGAACAGGGAGGTACGTCCAGACTAAGAATGGTGATAAGGTTCTGTCCGTTATCAATAAGATAATAACTTTTTATGTTATGACCAATAAATGGTCGATATTAAAATTTCATACTATTTTGTCTAAATAAATTCTTGAAATAAAACACTAAAAACTAAAATAAATCATGTAAATCATTATAATGTACAGTATTTGGAGATTTGATAAAATTATATTTAACAGTGTGTTGTTAAATTATTAGTGTTTTTAAAGATTATATTTAAAGGGGACCTATTATGCAAAATTCACTTTTACATGGTGTTTGAACATAAATGTGTGTCGGCAGTGTGTGTACACAACCACCCTAATGGTAAAAATCCACCCACTCCTCTTTTTTTAATCCCCATAAATCATAAGCGGTGTCTCAGAACAAGCTGTTTGCAGATTGTAGCTTTTGTGACGTCACAAATGTTTAGGCCCCGCCCACAACTGCTGACGGACTCTGCCCTATTAGCATAGACCCGCCCTGAGTGAGCTGTACACAGTCTGACATGTTTATCTCCTCGCCAGAGCATTTAAAGGGTTTGTTAAACCAAAAATGTCAATTCTGTCATTAATTACTCACCCTTAAGAATAAACCTTCATCTTCAGAACATAACTGAAGATACTTTTGATCAAATCTGAGAGCTTTCTGTCCCTCCATTGACGGCAACGTCATTGCAACTTTCAAGGCCCAGAAAGGTAGTAAAAACATCATTAAAATAGTCCATGTTACTACAGTGGTTTAACCTTAATATAATGAAGCGACGAGAATACTTTTTGTGCTCAATACCCCCCCAAAATAATGACATTATTCAACAATCTCTTCTCTTCCACGTCATTCTCCTACGCTGTTGACGTAGTGTAAACAGTGCAGCGCTTCTGAATTCTACGTCAGTACGTAGGCTCACTATTGGCCGACGCTGGTCATGTGTGTGATGACCCAGGAGCTAGCCAATAATAAGCCAACGTTCTGACGTAGAATCCAGAAGCGCTGCACTGTTTACACTACGACGTCAACAGCGTAGGAGAATGACGTGAAAGAGAAGAGATTGTTGAATAAAGTAAAGTCATGATTTTAGTTATATTTCCACATAAAAAGTATTCTCATCTCTTCATAACATTCAGGTTGAACTAGTGTAGTCAAGTGGACTATGTCTTTACCACCTTTCCGGGCCTTGAAAGTTGCAATGACGTTGCTGTCAATGGAGGGACAGAAAGGTCTCAGATTTCATAAAAAATATCTTCATTTGTGTTCCGAAGATGAACGAAGGTCTTACAGGTTTGGAACGACATGAGGGAGAGTAATTAATGACAGAATATACATTTTTGGGTGAACTAACCCTTTAACAGCAGCATTCAAGTAAGAAATGTGTTCTTATTAAAGATACTAAAGTTAATTCAATCAAGAGCCGTGAGTGATTTTCTGTTTTTCTTTTGTTGTTTGATTCATTTTAACAGTATATATAGCAGTAGGTACTGTATATTACCCTGCTTTCACTTTAATACACAGATCTAATATACACATGCAATTTCTTTACTTGCTGTTTACGTTCACAGAAATAACCGTCTGTGTTTATGTGAACTTTGCGTGTTTTTGACATTACCGTGTATTTGACAGTTTAAACGCAATAAGACTTGAAAGAGAACTTAGTTTAATATTCATGGGACGCTCCATCTGAACCAGAACTGCAATGTCACGTTAGCGTGACCGCGATAGAGATGATAATCAAAACCAAACAGATGTTGGTTTTGGCAGAGTATCAGAGGCACAAGCTGTAATGGCTCCGCCCTCTTCTGGAAAGCAGCAGCTCATTTGCATTTAAAGATACATGCTCGAAAACAAGTTTTTTCTTCCACTCAAAAATGAATCTATAAGGTATTTTGAGCTGAAACTTCACAGACACATTATGGGGGCATCTTGTAAAAAGGGACATAATAGGTCCCCTTTAAGTATGCGTTAGCTGACGGCTAAATGTAAAATTATGGTAAATTGCACTATTAAATATCCTATATTGCACGATATGTCGGCCAATAACTACGGTGCCGTTAAAGCAGGGTTCCTCAAATCCAGCCCTGGGTTTTCTACTTTCCTGCAGTTTAGCTCAAACCATGATCGTTCTCACTTACCTGCAATTTTCTAGTAACTCTGAAGACGTTGACTAGCTTGTTCAGGTGTGTTTGATTAGGGTTAGAACTAAACTCTGCAGGGCAGTGGCCCTCCAGGACCAGATTTGAGGAACCCTACCCTAAAGGGACATGGTGATGGAAAAATTATGAGATAAGAAGGAAAATTATATTTCAATGCTTTTGCGTTCACAAATTGAGAAATAATTTTCCCTCCCATCTCATATTTTTTCATCACCATGTCCCATCAGGGGCTCCTTAAATAACCGATATGGTACTGGTATGTCATGCATCCCTTGTTTAGTCTATTTAGGTTACTGAAACACGAGAAGACCACAATATAAGATATAATCCAGAATGATCTCTAATTTTCACAATGGAATGTTTGCATTTGTTTCAGCACCTGTTAAAGGTCCAGGGAATGTGAATATTTCTAATGTGACGCATGAATCAGCCGTGGTCCGTTGGCTTTCCATTCCTGTGGCGGAGCAGCGAGGATTTATACTGCATTATCTCATTTGGATTTCAGGACAGGGAAACACGAGTAAGGCGAAAGTTTGTAGTTTTACTGATCATCTAATTTGCTATGAAACCTTTATGTCACAACTGCAGACAAAAGTTTTTTACTGGTATAGGCAACAAAATAGTCTATTTTAAACAAATTGTTTATAACACCGTTCCTCTTGCTTCAGCACTCCATGAAGTCCAAGCAAATGAAACCAGCTTCAAGATCAAGAACCTCCACCCAGGGGCCTCTTACACCGTTTCTATAGCCGGAGAAACAATGGCTGGTAAAGGGCCGAACTCAACGGTGAACTTTGAAACACACACAGAAGAAATGGGTACTAAAACAGTCATTTCAGAATGAGAAATGATTATGCAGAACTTACACCTATATCTGCTTGTGTGTGAAGTAAACACAATGAGGTGTGAGAATATACCTGTCAACAGCAAATGTGTTCTGCCCTTTCATTCAGGCTTATCATGGCAGGACCAGACCATCCTGAGCGTCTGTGTGGTTGCCCTCTTGTGTACTATAATCTGCTCTGTTGCTGTCAGGAGGTGAGATTATCACAGATGAACTGACTGACCACCAAGATATGCTATTGTGTTATATTGTACATAACCTGTAGCTTTATTGGTAGAGCATAGAGCTAAAAAAGGCCATGGTTTCAGGAACACTGTTAAAAAAAATAATAAAAAAAATCTGACTTTATTGATTTACTTTTTTAATTACATTGAATCTTGAATTTTTTTTTAATTACATTTAACTTAAATCACATATTGTTACGGCACAATTCTTGAAATTTTCACTTCTCAAAATATAATGCTACAAATTTATTCTCATAATTTTGACTTTATTCTCAAAATATTGAAACTTTAATCTCGTTTTGCTACTACTTCATTCTCGTAATTTAAAGGAATGTTATGACTTTGTTGTAATAATTTTGACTTTATTCTGAAAATATTGCAACTTTAATCTTGTAATACTATGACTTTGACTTTATTCTCAAAATATTACGACTTATCTCACTGTAAACCCTAATGCTCAAAATAATTAATTGGTTTGAGTAGGACAAACTTAAATTAAACAAATTAGTTCAGTCAAATTAACTTTTATGAGTATTTAGCACTTTCTTTTTCTTTCAAGTTCACTGAACTGATATATTTTAAGTAAACTGAACTGTTTCATTGTTTTGAGTTTTATGAAATTATTTATTTTAATTTAGACGAACTTAAGTTTAACTGAAACAGCTGGGATGTCTATTTCCCAGCATGCTTTGCCGATGGCACTCGAAAGGGAGAGTAAATGCTAAAATTAAGTGTAATATAATGTTTTTTTGTGTGTAAGATTAATGTTATGTGTGAGATTTAGTAGTGATTCATGTTTTGTTATGCTAATTTAGAAGAATTTCTGTTAATGTTGGCTTTAGGATAGTTACCATCATGGTGACAAGTGGTGCATGCAGCTTGATTTGAGAGCAAATAATCCATTTATATTGCTGTGCTCATACAACAAGTGTTTCTGTATAACATATTATTGCCAATATGTTAGCATTTACTATGTTAGCAGATTAGCTTTTTAAAGCTAACTAAGTTCATACTAATAAAAGTATTTTGAGTTTTGCCAACTTATTTGGGTTTACAGTGTACTTCATAGATTCAAGTTATATTAACTGAATGGAATTAGTACTATTAACTTTATTTACCCAAGTTATCTTAACAATAAGTTATTGAGTTACTTGAACACAAATCAAATATTTTTTTAAGCTTAAATTGTTTGAGTTAATAAACTTAAATGATTTAAGGCAATCGGTTTCCTCAAACGGTTTGAGTTGAACTAACTCATCAGGTTTTACAGTGCTCGTATTTCTGCCACTTTATTCTCGTAATACTACAAATTTATTTTTGTAATTTTGACTATTCTCAAAATATTCCAACTTTAATCTCGTATTGCTATGACTTTATTGTCGTCATTTTCACTTTATTCTCAGTATATTACGACTTTATTCTCACAATTCAGTGACTGTTTTGGTCATTTTGACTTTATTTACAAAATATTACAACTTTAATCTCATGTTGGTTTGGTCATCAATTTGACTTTATTCTTAAAATATTACGACTTTTATCTTGCATATCTGTGACTTTACTCTCTTAATTTTCACTTGATTCTCAAAATAACTTTAATCTTATACTGCTGACTTTATTCTCATTTTCACTTTATTCTCAAAATATCACAACTTTATTCTCATAATTCAATGACTTTGTTCTGGTAATTTTGACTTTATTCACAAAACATACAACTTTAATCTCATCTTGGTCGCCATTCTGACTTTATCTTTCACTATATTTTGAGAATAAAGTCAAAATGATGACCAAGATGAGATAACAGTTGTGTGTTTTGTGAATAAAGTCAATTTCTACAACTCTACAACTTTATTCTTGTAATTTTGACTAAATTCTCAAAATATTACAACTTTAATCTTGTATTGTTACAACTTTATTGTTTTACATATATTACACATAAAAAAACCATAATATATATATATATATATATATATATATATAGACTTGCACCATCTGCTATGTAAATGTATTTAGCTATAACATTTCTTTAACTGTCTATTTGCTTTGCAGATTTAGGAGTAAGTTGATACCTAAAGTGCCCAGTCCTGTGATTGATACATCAGAAATCAGATGTCCACAAGATCAGGTTAGCAACACAAACTGCTGAAGAATCGAAACCTATTTCCAATGAAACAACCTCAATATTTAAAAAGGGCATGGTTGATTATGCTACACATTATAATGTCCCACATTTTCAAAATCTTCCATCACAGTTGGCACAAAAAAAAAACTGTGGTGAGGTCAAAATATCAACCACAACGTCACATCAGCGCATTTGCAGTGACGTACCTCAAAAGCAGCTATCAGACCGAGAAAAGCAAAATCCACTCACAGAACTGATACATAAACTATAGAGTTGACCTACTAATGAAAAGTGAAGGAAAATAAATGGAGGGATATTTGTAATTAAATTGATCTTATTGTGCATGATTCATCAGCATGTTATTCCAAATGAGAAAATGTTTGTGTCGCAGGACCTGAGACAGACGGAGGAAGTGCATGAATTTGTTCTCTTGCTACGTCAAGATCTCAGCAAACCCAGTGAAAACGTGACGCCTGAACAGAGCACTTTACTGCAAGGCTTCGGCCTTGTCGTCTTTGAGGAGGAAGACGAGGTAGACGAGGAGGGTGAAGTTACTGACTTGAGCTCTATGAAATCCTGTTGCTATCCGAATCCTAGTTACAGAGGACAGACGCTACAGCTGCCAGAGCCTTTCCACACGACAGATAGCACATTAAATGACAATGACACAGAGTCCACATACAGAAATGGCCTGTTCTTTGAAACAAGAATCCTGGAGTGTGACAAAACGTCACTATAGACTTGTGTGTGACGAGTACTGACAAATAAACAACCCTAAACAAACTCCCTCTAACTGCTGCATGTGTCTTCTGTACAACTAGATGCATTCAGTAATGGTGTCTTTGCTTTTCTTTTCTTATCCTTTCCTTTAAAGTGCACCTGAGACATAGTACTGGAAATAACCCAGTTCTGAGAACAGTGTATGATTCTCAGCAGTTAAAGCTTTGTTGTGGTCACTGACGTAACATTCTGGATTCTCATTATGTCTATGTATGAAGATGCTTGGTGTTTTTAGTAATAGAGTTACGGTTAGCCTACTTAACACATCAAAGGTTTAGGACAGTATGATTTTTTTTAAAAGAAATTAAAGGGATAGTTCACCCAAAAAATTTAAATGATCCCATAATTTACTCACCCTCAAGGCAATATAGTGTATATATATATATATATATTTTTTTTTGTAGCCAAACACAATCGGAGTTATATTTGAAAAAATATCCTGGCTCTTCCAAGCTTTATAATGGGAGTGAGTAGAACCTGAATTTTTGAAGCTCCAAAAAGCGCATCCATCGATCATAAAAGTAATATACGGCTCCAGTGGATTAATACAGGCCATCTGAAGTGAAGCAAAGTGTTTTTGAAAAACAAAACAAAACATATTTATAACTTTCTAAACTATAATTACTTTTATTCAGCAAGGATGCATTAAAATTGATCAAAAGTTACAGTAAAGACATTCATAAATGTTACGAATGCTGTTCGTTTGAACTTTCTATTCATCAAAGAATCCTGTAAAAAATACCCCCCATAAATGTATCATGGTTTCCACAAAAATATTAAGCAGCACAGCTGTTTTGAACGAATGAAGCATTTAGCGCCGCTTTACATCCAAAGCCACAGTACAACGGCGCCAGTGCGCTCACCACACACCAGCTACAGCTGGAGAGGAGAGAGAGTGATAGAGTCAATTGAAAGCATGCAGATTATTATTAGGAGGCCATGATTGACGAAGGCCAATGGAGGGAATTTGGCCAGGACACCGGGTTACACCATTACTCTTTATGAAAATTGCCATGGGATTTTTAATGAGCACAGAGAGTCAGGACCTCGGTTTAACGTCTCATCTGAAGGACGGTGCTTGTTATCGTATAGTGTCCTCATCACTATACTGGGGCATTATGACCCACACAGACCACAGGGTGAACACCTCCGCTGGTCTCATTGTTCTCAATCCAACTGAGCATTTGTGGGATGTGCTGGACCAACAAGTTCGATCCATGGCCGCTCCACCTCGCAACCTACATGAATTGAAGGATCTACTGCAAAACGCCACAGGACACAGGTCGGTCTGTGCTGTTTTGGAGCACAGCATATTAGGCAGGTGGTCATAATGTTTTGGCTCATTGGCGTATATACCATGGTCTGTCTGAAAACTCGATTCTGATTGGCTGGAAGGTGTGCAATATGAGCACCCAAAGTTCTTATATTGTAGGGTGTATTCAGGTTTCAGGCCACGCCCCCTACATTATGAGGGCATGGCGATGTCTTTATAATTCAAATCGCTAAATAAACACACTTAAAAAAAATTGTATTCAAAATTTAAAATTGCAGTTTTCTGTGAAGGGTATGTTTAGGGTTAGGGGATAGAACATGTCATTAGCTCAGTATAAAAACCATTACGCCTATGAAATGTCGTGTGTGTGTGTGTGTGTGTGTGTGTGTGTACAGGTTTGGCTATACTTGTGAGCAGGGGTGCGGCCAGGGATTTTGGGCCCCATGAAAAAATATGAGGTAAGGCCCCTATACTGCACCCGTTCAATTAATAAAATCGATCTCTGGGGCCCCTAAAAGTGTGTGGGCCCTTAGAATCGTCCTAACTTTTCCCCCCTTAGCGGCGCCCCTGCTTGTGAGGGCCAAATGTCCTCACTTATATAGTGAAATATTATGACAACTGACTAGTGAGGACATTTTACTGGTTCTCACTTAAAAAGGCTTACAAATCGGCCAAACATGTTTTTATTTATATCTAGTGATGATTAGTGCACAGGGGTTGGATTAGGCGACATAAAATATCATTAACTTGTTATAAAATCAACGGAAGTCTAGGTAATGTGACTATGTAATATAATGAAACAAACATATATGTTATGTGTGTGTATAATTAATGTGAAATCAGATTAGATATGATACCCTTGCACTCCTGTCCACTAGGGAGAGCAATTCAATCTCTCTGAAAAGACAGTGGAGGTTTTACAGCTTTTAATAAACATACATCACAAACCAAGAGTCATGGGGTTTTCCATACAAACCATAGCAACCATAGTGACTCTTGGTTTGTGATGTATGTTTATTAAAAGCTGTACAACCTCCACTGACTGTTACTTAAAAAAATGACAAAAAGTTCATTCAATAATCAACTTCTTACACCATGTAAGTAGATTCCATACAAATGTATCTTGGTTTTACAGTAGCACCAATAACTGTAGGATCCATCAGTTATCTTTGTTATTGCTAAAATCGGGTCAATCAAAATGCTTTTTCCACAATAAGAAAACTGTATTTAATTTAATGTAAAAATTTAATTATATCAATTCTTATCCAAGAATAAAAAGCCAGATAGCCTACTTGACAAGCCTGAGCTTTGACAATTCCTTATATATATATATATATATAAAAAAAAAAGTTTTATAAGTCTAACTATCGAGATTTTAAATAACTAGATGGAACTTTTTGTACACCACGTACCTACAAACCACTGAAATCAGTTGATAAATGTAATTTTTTTTTTATCCAGAAAAACCGCAGCTCACCGTTTACTTGCATTTGATTACAGTGCAGTCTTGCCCTCCGCAAAATGGCGGAGTTTGACGTATCACTGCAACGTTCCAAAGCGGCCAATAGGGCGTCTATGTATTTATTATGTCTATTAACAGCATCCTCCTGTTGCAGATACACAAGTGAAGCGCTGCTGCCCTCTGTCTTCACAAAAGTACCTTTGTTTGCGAGTCTGTGCTGTGGCTGCCTGCTGCCTCTGTCTGTGCTCGATGAGTGAACATTACTGCTCAGGACATACAGGAATTAATAAGAAATGAAGATCTCCAACTCCTCAGAATCTATAAGGATTAGAAACGAAAAAAGTAAAAGTGATTACAGGTAAGTGTGAGATAAAACATAAAAAAGCACATAAAGCATTTACAGTTTTTCTCAGTCGCTTTGGTACATTTCTCAGATCAGAATTGAAATTCTCAAAACTACCTGTTCAATCTTCACATCATCGTGTCACTTGTGCACATCGAAAAAGGAGGACATCGTGAGGACATCGATCAAAATGTATTATAATAGGTCTCTGTTGAATAGTAACACCCCTCACAACATTTAGGCATTAGTTCATATAGCATAAGTCTTTACAAGTTGTCATAATATGTCAAGGATATTTATATACATTTCCATTAGACTTTTTTTCTAAATCTGTCCTGTTCACATTTCAACTTTTTTTTTTCTTTGTGCTATGCAGTGCTGTCTTTTCCTGTATCGCAATGACATGGTCTGTCAACAAATTACAGTACAAACAGTAAAAGCGTAAATGTGAATCTTGTCCAGTCTCTTGCAATCAAACTCCCACATACACTGTGTGTAACCTACAATTTACAATAATTGTCATCAAAACTTTATCCATAGTTTACATCAGAACATACACTGTTATATTGACCAAGGGTGTAGATTTGGTTTGAACATTGGGGGGGTTGAAGTTCGAGTATGCCTCCTGATATTGTGATCATTTTGTAATGCATAGATTTAAATAATGGGGGGGTTATATCCCCCCCATCAATTACGCCCCTGATATTGACAACATGACTAAGCAATTTGACTGTCTTATCCATACACAATGACACAAGGACTTGTCATTCTGATGGGACTGACATGTTCATTGACACAGATATTTACTTTTGAGAGATGAACTAAGGATTTTGAGCAAGAGACTGGCTTTTGCAGGTAATCCATGGTGTTTTGCTATTTGTACGAATTGTTTTGAGAAATGCACTTACTGTTTTAAAAATGTCGAGGATGATTCGAGAAATGTACCAAAGCGACTGAGAAAAACTGTAACATAAAATAGTGCACAACAAATGGATCAAAACAGAACAAGAGCAAGCTTCCATGTTAGTAGTACAATGATAACTTTATCTTATCACTTGATATTAGCAACCACTGTCTCTGAGAGTAAATCCATTTAAGAAACATTACATTTACTAAATTATCATTTTGATCATTTAGCCAATGCTACACTTCAAATATATGCATCTTAATTTATAGACAGACAGATAGACAGACAGATAGATAGATAGATAGATAGTATAGATAGTATTGACAGACAGACAGATAGATAGATAGATAGACAGACAGATAGATAGATAGATAGATAGATAGATAGATAGATAGATAGTATTGACATACAGACAGATATATATATATAGATAGATAGATAGTATTGACAGACATACAGACAGACAGATATATATATATAATATAGTATTGACAGACAGACAGATAGATAGATAGATAGATAGATAGTCTTGACAGACAGACAGATAGATAGATAATATTGACAGACAAATAGACAGACAGACAGATAGATAGTATTGGCAGACAGACAGACAGACAGATAGATAGATAGACAGACAGACTGTATTGAGAGACAGACAGACAGATAGTATTGACAGACAAATAGACAGACAGACAGATAGATAGTATTGACAGACAGATAGATAGACAGACAGACAGACAGTATTGACAGACAGACAGACATACAGATAGACAGTATTGACAGACAGACAGACAGACAGACAGACAGACAGACAGACAGATAGATAGATATAGTATTGACAGACAGACAGACAGATAGATATAGTATTGACAGACAGACAATATTGTCAGACAGATAGTATTGACAGACAGACAGATAGTATTGACAGACAGACAGACAGACAGACAGACAGATAGATAGATAGATAGATAGATAGATAGATAGATAGATAGATAGATAGATAGATAGATAGATAGATAGATAGATAGATAGATAGATAGATAGATAGATAGATAGATAGATAGATAGATAGATAGATAGATAGATAGAATCTGTCCATTATCTCCTGCGTCCCGTGGCCAGCAGGGGGCAACAGATTTCATTAGCATGAAGGAGTGGGGTAGGTCAGTCAGTGGTATGAGTGAACGCTTACGCTGTAGTATTCAGGAGGTGCAGATTACTTCAGAAATTTGACCATGAGGACTCTACGAAACGTAGCATCAGAAGTGCACGCTTATTTCGTGCTTTTCAACAGCGTGGAAATAGCCAGACGGTTGGAGATAAACTAATAGGATTATGAGGACAACAAACCGAGAGCCAACAGAGACATTAGACAAAGGAGAGCACCATTTCCACAAAAACACTCCATAACGGAGAAAACAAATCACAACAACTGTTTTGACACTTACATTGCTGTCTGGTTGTCGCCATATAAACAGGACATACCGAACTGAAACCGGTCCTCCGTGGATCAGTTGGGAAAGAAAGCTGGAGTGGTCGAAATTCACTGATTTACTTCTGTGCAAATGGGGTGAGTTCCTTCTCCTAACAGGTTTTACTACACATTTCAGAAAAGCGACGACGATTTGTCTTGAACATCGTAGGTTACATCTTTTTAAAAAGTAGTTAACACTTACCAATGTGTGACAGTTGTAAATTCCGTCTAACTTTAGTTTGGATCATATTTTGGACGGCGTAAGTTTGGAAAAGGGGCGAGCGCGAGCTCACATTCCGGCTGTTTCAAAATCTACTGCGCTGTCTAACTAGACATAATTTTAGGCATCATAAGACGCCTTCCGAGTTTGCTGAAAAATGCCTAAAGTCATGCCCAGAATGATGCACGTGCCAGCAATTCCACAAAATGCTGTTTACTAGTTAGGCAGCTCACTGGATTTTGAGACGCAGCCTCTCAGCTCTGTTTTATGGTAATTTCCTCTATTTTTTTTCATCAGAATGCTTTTTTAAAATAGTATTTATTGTTTCATTACTGTGTAATTATGCGCGAACAGACAATCTATTGACTGACTAAATTTATGCATGTGACATTGTAAATGTCGTCATCTCCAGATTTTACATTTTTCTTATGAGCTTTGTAACTTACTCGTTCAAATTAAACTGTGGAACGCCAGAAGCATCTTACCCTTTTCAATATTTTTGAATAATCTTATTGTGAACAATTAGTTCATGTATGTTTCAGGGGTTTTTTTTGTTTGTTTTTTTAAATACAGTTGAGATAATGTTTTTTTTTTTTTTATCAAATGGATCTTTCAGTGAGACAGGACAGTTTTCTTGTGATGCATGCCAGAAATCTCCATTCATTCATTACATCCACATAAACAAAATATTGATTTGTAGTTATTGCTTAAAACATATTTCACATAAATTAAAGAAAAATATTTGTTTGGTAATCCTTCCTACAATAACTTAGGTAAAGGTTAGGGGAGAGTGGGGTAAGATGAGCCAGTGCACCTACCATGTTTTGACATTGCAGAAACACTACCATGCCAAGAACCTTTGCTAAACTTAGTTTCAGTGAAATGTATTAATTTATTCTAATTCAGTTCCCTATCGATACAGTTCATTTGTATTGCGTCGCTAGATGCGATGGGGGGAAAACTCCTTTTTGTCTGAATATTGAAGCCTTATTAAATCATGCAGTGAAACTGCACAAGCCTATTGCAGTGCAGCGGATCTAGAGTTAAATACTAACAGATCCTTGCTCCTCAGCCATTTGGAATGCCTGTGATTCAGGATCAACTTAGCCAAGCAGGGCTCCAGACTAACTTTTTGCCTTGGTTGCACTGGTGCGCCTAACTTATTTATTTAGGTGCACCAGCACAAAATTTAGGTGCACTAAAATTTTTCCTCGTCTCGCGTGAAGTCACCTTTAACGCCACAATTTCAAGGTCACCTTTTTATCACGCTCCATATACATTCATATATATTATGTAAATGCTTTTAAACAAGAATAATAATATTTTTTTTTTTTTTGAAGCACAATTATACTGTATATAAAAATATAAATCTTTAAAAAAAATAAAACATTTAAAGTGCTGTTTTTACATTGTTCAAGTTAGGGCAGGGTATTGACACAAATTTCACAATTCGATTCAATATTGATTATTTTGGATATCAGGTACAATACATGGCAAATTTTCTCAAGGAAAACAAATCTCTTAACTAATGCTGTAAATTGGGAGTCAGTTGTAGCCCACTATGCTTCATTAGCCTACTATAATATTGAAGGTACCTGATTTGTACACAAACACTTAAATTACACTTGTATTTATTTTTATAATAAAAGTTATATGAAATATAAACATTTAAATGGTGGCTGCATAAAAACTTGCCAGATTTTTTCAAACAACATGCATTAAATATTGAAAAACATAAAAAATTTTTATAATGAATATGCAATATGGTGCATATATTTGGCAAAATGCTCCTCCCTAGAGTTAATTTTTCTAGCTAGCTAACGAGTTTATGGTCACTGGATATGTTTTTTTTCTGAGGTAAATGTGACGTTACATTACATTGTTTACAAGCGTTTTACTGACGTCTTTCCACGGTTGAAACACTGATTGAGCGATTCCATGTGAAAGATACGGATTTCGATAAGTTGTAACGTTACCCTATCTTTTAGCACACTTTCAGATGCTCGTTCATGTTTATTTGGCGCTGTAACTGGTATTATTAAGGCGGAAGAGAAGATCATGTGCGCTCCGCTGCTGCTGCTTCTCTTGAGCTGAGCCAGAGCGATCTCACGCCACAGCGTCAACAACACACTATTTATGTTTTAGAATTTCATAAGAAAATGGACCTAATTTGAAATCTGAGACTTTGTTTCATATCAATAGTAACAAAGCACAAAGATTATTGCGATTTATTGGATGGGATGCGCGCTACAATGTTCCATTCATTCATCAACTGAAAACAGCATAGCCCAACGGTTCGTAAAAATGAGAATCGATTAAAATCGAGAAATCAATATTTTTCACCTACGCTAGTTCAAGTAGCATACATTTTTAAAAGTTTCTTCGTCGTCTGTTTTCTTGCGTTTATTTAGCTGATGCTGCTGATTGCCGTAACTGATTCTCTGGTGCTCAGGTGACAGGTCGCAATTTATTTCAATCACACAGAACGGAGCATTTTAGTCCTACAGGAATATCTGAACCACAGCCAATCAGAGGCAAAGACCCGCCCAATCTCTATCTCTGATTGGTTTAGACCACGATATGATCCAACCATGCGTGCAAGGAGAACAAAAGACTCGTTTGTTGAGAGGCAGCGGATGCAATCATGCGAGAACGTTAGGTGCACTGGTGCGACCTAGGAAAAAAGTTTAGTCGCACCCTTACAAATTTTGGTCGCATGTGCGACCAAAATGGTCGCACTCTAGAGCCCTGCCAAGAGCTCACTGTCTTCCAGCCAGCAAGTCGCCTTTCTGGGAGCAGTTCTCGATTCGGCCCAGATGCAGGCCAGGCTCACGCCAGAGCACGTTCTGACGATTCAGCAGCTCACAGCGTTGTTCAGAGTAGGCAGCCTTCTTCTCAAAGGACAAGAATATTGCACTGCTCCCTCAGGTCATCAAACGGATCAGGGAGGACAGTCCTTCTGGTGGCCCCTCTCTGGCAGAACCAGCCATAGTTGATGCAACTGCTAGCAGCAGCTCCCTGGCCATCATGTGACGTGCTGCTGTTACTGTAATTTCTACAGGAACTGATGGACACGGGACGCACCCCTTCCACGCTAGAGGTCTGCACGGGCTTTAAACTGAAGCCCGAACCCGGCCCGTACCCGCGATCATTTAACCCGACCCGACCCGACCCGACAATAACATTTACATATTAAGCCCGAACCCGACCCGAACCCGAGGTCCATTCTGTTTCTCACAGCAAATACCATTTTTGCAATAGGCTATGCTATGTTGTATTTAATGATTGCTTGACATATTAAACAAATACATGTAGGCGCAGCGGCCATATCAGCAGGCAGCACAGCAGTAAGAGAAAAAACTTACCAAGTAATTTTTTGCTTTATCAGACTCATGGTTTGCTTGTTGTCGTCCGCTGTCTGTCTGTATTCTGTATTGTGACTGAAATAGCGCGCGAGAGCGGTAGCACATGCGCAAAACAGTTATGATATAAATGATATGATAAAATAAAACAAATAATAAAAAAAATTATATATATATATATATATATATATATATCATTATATTTGAGAGAGAGCCTGTGTGTCTGACTGACATGCACATATTGCACATCTGCACACGTATACTTTCTCTCTCTCTCGCGTGCCGGTCACCACAACACAGCAAGCAGGCAAAGCACACGGCACGCAAACTATATATAGCCTATTTAGTTTTTCTTAGTTAAACCCGAACCCGACCCGAACCCGAGGCTGTTCATTAACATTAACCCGAACCCGACCCGAAACCCGCACATTTTTCGGGACCCGTCGGGCTCGGGTCGGGTAGCAGACCTCTATTCCACGCTCAAAGTCTACGTGGCGGCCATAACAGCATACCACGCTCCTGTGGCTGGCCAGTCTCTAGGTAGGAACAACCTAGTTGTTAATTTTCTGAAGGGGGGCAGAAGGCTGAACCCGCTTCGTCCCCTTACCATTCCAACATGGGACCTGTTGAAGTCCTTAGGGCCCTCAAAAGACCTCCCTTCGAGCCACTGCTGTTGGCTGAGCTATGGCCCCTTTTGCTAGCACTAGCATCGTCAAGCGAGTGGGTGACTTGCAAGCGCTCTCCGTGAGCGCATCTTGCCTTGAGTTTGGGCCTAATGACTGTAAAGTCGTTCTTAAACCAAGACATGGCTATTTGCCTAAGTGCTCTCTACTCCGTTCAGAGCACAGGTCATTACTCAGCTCTTCCCGTTTCGGAAGATAAGCAAGAATTACACTCTGCCATGTCCAGGCCTTAAGAGAATATATAAAGCGCTCTGCCCAATTTAGACAGTCAGAACAGCTCTTTGTTTGCTTCGGAGGACGCACCAAAAGGCATCCGGTCACGAAGCAAAGATTATCCCGCTGGATAGTGGATGCCATTGCGTTGGCTTACACTTCGATGGGCCTTCAGTGACCCATCAGTGTAAAACCACACTCCACCATGCATGGTATGGCCTCTTCCTGGGCGTGTATCCAGTGGAGTATCCATTGGTGACATCTGTGCTGCGGCTGGCTGATCCTCACCGTCCACCTTTGCCAGGTTTTACAACTTGGATTTTCCTGCATTACAAGCACGAGTCCTGTCTATTTATTTGGGGTTTGACCTCCAAGCGAGCTCAACCCACTAATTTGTTCATTCGGTGCGGAGGACATGCACCGATGTACTGACAAACCTTTCCCTCTAGGTTTCGACCTGATGGTCTGGGCCCTTTAGTCTCGGGCGAGTACCTCTTAGCCCTACTGCCTTTAAGGCCCTTATCCCCAAGTGTCTTAGGCTGGGGCCAAAAAACGGTTGTTTTTCTGCAATAATAGCACGTTGTGATTGGATTGTGTTCCCGTCGTGTCTAGCGACGC